TAATGATACACTTGTTCAGTAGAAAATGGAGTATTACAAATCCATGTCTGATTGCGTTTTCATATTTTGTTTTTTCTGGTTTCATTCACATGGTCATTTGTTTCGTGTTTTCTTTATACGTTTCGGTTTTCCTTAGCATTTGGCAGGGGGGATCGTAACTTCTTGTAGTGAGAACCAGTGTGACTGGCCTGCCAACGGGATGCTAAGGTTTTTATAGTAAAAGTTATCAGTCACTTCCGTTAATGTAATTTAGTTTTATTATCCGTAAATCAAAAATCACTATACTATACTATACTATACTATACTATACTATACTATACTATACTATACTATACTATACTATACTATACTATACTATACTATACTATACTATAACGTAATCAATCATTCAGTTTGTCTTCCTAAAAGCATTTATTGTTTACTGCAAATATGCTAATGAGGAGATAAGTGAACTGAGACACTGTTGCATGCAGCATGATTTATGATTGCCATCAAATTAGACAAAAACAAAATTAACATAAATGAACTAGTAACCACAATTTTCCTACCACTGGGCCTATAGTAAATTTGATAGCAGCACACTAACATCCTATAAAACAATCATATAACGTAATCAATCATTCAGTTTGTCTGCCTAAAAGCATTTATTGTTTACTGCAAATATGCTAATGAGGAGATAAGTGAACTGAGACAGTGCATCTTTGGAAGTCAAACTTGTGTTGTCTGCAAGGAAACATTGGATCAACATTGACCTGTGATGGCTGTAAAACAATCATGTAATCAATTATTCAGCTTGCATTTAGATTTTCCTTTAATTTTTTCTGTATTACAAGCCAATATTACTGTGAAGTATTCACCAATGTCCGTCAATGTCTTGCCATGTTTTTTGACTGCTTTATCTAGTCACGGTGGTGATTAGACATGACGTTTTATATAAATTGAAGTTGGTAAATCATTTTCAGGGTCATCCCACTCTAAAATATGCTAAGCAGTTCAAAAGAAAATAGTATGAGAAAAAGATTGAGCGAGTGTACAAATTATTGCAAATTACAACTAACATGATCGAACTAAATACATTATTTACATAACTTGACAAGCTCTGTGGGTGGTGTATTTAGCGCTTCCGCTGTGTTTGTTGCGTTCTCTTCTTGAAGTGGTAGTTTCTTTTTTATTCTCAATCCTGCAGTTCAGTTACTAGAATTTATACCCTTATAATTCGACCACTCAAAATATACCTCTGATAGTTTAACCACTCAAAGAAATAATTTCTGTTTTTCTTCTTATAAATCGGCCACTCCCAAAAATAATTATTTGTTCATGATTGAATTGATAGAAGAATTACGGTAGTACATAACAATAACGATTATACAAAATAATGTTGATACATTTTGAAACAAAATTGACGAGCGGTGCCTTTTTTGGTTCGGGTCAAGAACTTTCATCAGTAAACATGTTGTAAATAACCAAGTAATTTGTCAGCTGTCAGCGCGTAGCTGTCTTTCTAACAACCTTATATCTTCGTTGAACGTGAATGTTTTTCTAGTCGAGTATTGTACTAAGGTAGAAGCCTAGTCATAATTTTTGAAAAAATTGATCATATATCATGTCACGAATGTCAAACATTAAATCATGTTTATGTTGTATGTCGTGATGGTGGCGTTTTGTGTTTGTCTTACGGCGATAGA